CAATCTCCCCCAGCTACCCCTTCCCCACAACCCCATCCATCATGTACCACCCCCCCACCCAAGCAAATGCAGAAAACAAACCATAAGAAGTTTCAAGAAGAGTTTCACCAACATACACCTAGCAATGCCATTATATTAAAAGAGAAGTTACCACCACTTCCCCCTTACCTCTGTAACATAGCCCGTAGAATTCACAAATTTCTCAAACTCTGCATTGCTGACTTCATACTGATCCATGTAGAACAGGTTAATGTGAACTCTTCTAGCAGGCCACTCCCCATCCTGCCGTATCTCAGGTTCATCAGTCCCCATCACGAACACTCCAGCTGGAATAGGGACCATCTGCAATAGAAACAGATGGGAGTGAGAACAACAGGAATTATTAAGAGCTGGCTATGGTTTTCCCTCCTAGCAGACTGAAAGAAGGACTGATCTGGCTTTTCACAGTGCTGCCTTCACAGTGTAACATCACCCAATAAGATACAAGGATATTAAGATTTGAAGTGTGCGAAAGGCTGAAAGGCAAGTAGAGAGGGCTTCAAACTCCAGTATAAACTCAGTTCTCAAACTGCCTTGCTCCAAGCTCATGGGCAGTTCAGATCTCCTGCTGAAGTCTAAAGACATCTCAGTGCACTGCTTTCACATGAAACCTTAGGTAGTAGACAACAACAACAACAACAAAGTGCGTCTTGCTCACTGCAGAAGGAAAGACTCCAATATCTCTGTTTTGTGGAGTAGTCTTGCCATGTAGACAAGCAGCCTGGGGATTTGGAAGGAGCAGGGTATTTTTGATGGGCAACGCACAGCATATCTGTTCAAACAGACAATATGTGGGTTCTTATTTGCCAACAGATGTGCATGTTATTCTGGAATCACTCAGGTGGGTTCAGGTGCCACATCTCTCTCTCAGGAGGTAAACAGCAAGCCTGCAAGGAATTAATATTCTATGCTGTGCAAGACTGGCCTGCCGCTGTTGATTTACCCTCAGGAAGTAAGGGAGAAATGACAAAGTTATTCCTCACCTCGAGGAAGACTATCGACTTTAATGCTTCAGCCTAATTCTAAAGGAAACAAAACCCATTTCTTCCTCCCTCCCCGCCCCCATTCTTATTTTTACAATCAATAGAGAGCAAGAAAGAAAGAAAGAAAAAACCCACACAAGAACAGGTTCCTATCACTCACTATTAAAAAAAGACAGTAAGTCGGGTCATTCCCAAGGCCCCTCAAGAAGCATGAGGTTTACAAGCAATAAAAGGATGGATGATCCCCAAACTGCCAGGACCTTGTAACAGGCTGCCTTTGCAGCTAGGGGAGAGCTGAGATGAGACCAATGAAGTACGAGTCATTTCCCTTTCAATTAGAGCCCCCAAATCTCTATTTTTCCCCAGTTTAAAAAACTTCTAACTGAATTCAGAGAGAAACTTTTGCTTCAACTGGCAGGT